TTTTTTTTTTTTTTACTTTTCAGTGTGTTTGAACATCTTTATAATACAATTTTAAAGTAAAATTTATATGGCTTATTCTAATTTTACAATTAGATGTGAATCATTGAAAATTTATCAGAGCTTTTTAGGACATAGACCAGAGCGTTATTTCTATTAATTAGGTAATAGAACTCATTGGAGATGTCTATTAAAAGGAATTAGAATGAATATGTGTGCGTTTGTATGCATTATGATAATCTGAGCTCAAATGTGTTATAACCTTGCTTCAGAGAAGGGTGATTCAGTGTCCAAGTATTGGAAACACTAGTTATAAAAATGATAAAAAATCCCCCTTACTATGTTTCAGCATGAAGAGATATGAAATGCACTTCTAAGTCAGCAAACTAAGATACATTTCCCATATCACAATTTACAATTTGCCCACGTTTCATGGTTGTATAACATTGTATCAGGGTTTGTGTTGTTATCTGGATATTGGTTTTTGTTTGTTTGTTTTACCACAGAACCTTATAGATGGGGCTGGATGCAATACCAGTACCTGCCTTCTTTGTCTTAGCACTTATGGGAATATTATTTATTGCAAAAATAATATGCTCTTGCCAACTTAGAGTCAGTTTTATGCTGAACACTCATTCAAGATTAGAGAGGTAAGAAAATAGTTGTACTTTGTAAAAATGTTAGAATGTCCATGTTTCAAACACAGAGCTGAGACAATTCTTAAAATACAGTGTTCAGGAGGTGGCTGAAGACCTCACAGGCTGTGGCTTCTTAGCTGTACCAGTTGGAGTTTCCCTTGTTTAGAAACATAGGCTACACAATATTCTGGGATTAAAATTTCCCACATTGCCCTCATTGTGAAACTTCTTCTCTTGCTTTGGCCAAGAAGTTCTAGGACAATTTTTGTTTTGTTTTGTCTTAGTTGTAGAATCAAATATAAATCAAATATTGCAGAGATAATAGACTTTGGTCATAACAACTTTTTTTTTTCTGTTAAAGCTTCACCTATTTCAAGTCCAGGCTATTGATGTGCATGCATATGAGCTTGGTTTGAGAGTGAGAGCTAAGGGAGGAATAGAAAGAAGAGAGAGTCAGTGGTAGGAATTCCAGTCATCCATTCATTCAAAATGTCTGATTTTTTTCTGGCAATCAACAGCAAGTTCTTGTCTTCTCCTCTTTCGAACAGTAAGCCTATATGAGATGCTTGGTTTTTTTTGTATGTGTTCTAAGATGAACATCACAGCAAGTATTAGCTTAACAGCCCCTTGGGTCTTTAATTGAATGATTATAAAGGCTTTTCAAGCAGAACTTATTTGAAACAAGGTGTCACTATGTAGTCCTGGCTGTCCTGGATCTTCCTATATAGACTAGGCTGGTGGGGGTGTGGGGGGGTTGTGTGTTGGTATTTGCCTCCACATCTGGAAGCTTTGCAAACTTTTATACATGATAAAGTAGTCCCTTTTAACACTTAGACAGGAAACTTGGCATAGTTGTCTTTCAGTTCAGTAACAGCAATGATGACATTGTATTGAAATGTACAAATTAAATCTATTATCAGCACATACAGCCAACAAAATCTCCTCAGTTTCATGTGGCTGGCTGTGCTAGGTAAGTGAAGAGCTGAAATATTTAGAAAGACATTTTTATGTCTTAGACATAGTAATTATTTTCTTCTCTAGAAAATACTTTGTGTATGTAGCAGGTACAATAGGACCATTCTCAAACAGGAGGTGGGCTCAAAGAATATCATCAAGGAAGCTCAGTAACGGCTTAAGATTCTATATACAGCTTGAAATGATGTAGGAATTTTAAAACAGTGAAATAGTACTTGACTTTAAAGCAATTATTTCCCTGTAGTAAATTATATAGGACCTGCTCATTTCGCTTTTAAAAGTTAAACTACATTCTGCTTAGCAGTAGCCTACCTTTAGGAGATGCTTCAGTTGTTGGTTTGCTAACAAAATTTGTCGTTGACATGGCATCTGGTGTTATGACAGATGATCTTGTAGAAGTTGCTGTCGTCAGTGGGCTAGACATATTTGAAACATCTGTAAAAAAGTAAATTATGTTTAAGCAATGTAATTTATATTTATTTTTCTAATCAACTGACTAATATACTTAAGCAATATAAGATAGCTGGCAACCACAAAAAAGCCAGGCATGACAGAAAGCACTAATAACCTCAGAGCAGGGGTCGGGGAGGCAAAGATAGGCGGGTTCCCAGAACTTACTGGCCAGCCAGTTTAGGCAAAATGGCAAGATGTATATTCAGTAAGAGACCCTGACTCAAAATAAAATGGAGAGCCATGAAGGAAGGCCGTGAGCTCTAGTCTCTGCATTCACATGCTCCCTGCCTTCCTCCCTGCCTCCCTCCCTCCCTTCCTCCCTCTCTCCCTCCCTCCCTTCCTTCCTTCCTTTCTTCTTTTCTATCTTCTGTTAATCCAATCAGTAAAGCATGAATTTGGAACTAGTTTCCAAGTTGTAATGAATTGATTCTTAGTTCATTACTTGACCAGCGGTTCTATCTGCTTCTCACCAATGGTATGAGTTTTCAAGACAGCTGCAGAACAGTCTGCATTTCTAGAGCTATCTAATACCTGAGAAAGCTAATGAGGAATACAAGTACAAAACTGAAGTTTAATAGTTATACTATCTGCACCAGATATTAAGTGTGCGGTTTCTGAGCACTGGGTGTTTTGCTATGTATGTATTTTCATAGCACATTGAAAGTCATTAATCACTAAAATGTCAATGTTAGTAAATATGTTCATGATAACTTCTTTTCTTCTCTACTGATTTTATGTGTGTGAGTGTTTTGCCTGTGTGTATGTAAGCTTCCTGTGTCATGCAATGCCCATGGAAGCCAGAAGAGGGAATTGGTTTCCCTGGAACTGGAGTTATGGATGGTTGTTAGATGCTATGTGGGCACTGGGAACTGAGCCTGGGTCCTCTGCAAGAGCAGCCAGTGTTCTTAACCCCTGAGCTATCTCTCCAATCCCTTCTCTCCATTTATAAAATACTTTTTATTTTATGCTCTATTAATATTGTATATAATTTATTATTTATCATGTTTACCAAGTATATTTATATGCCACAAAACTTATACATTGTATGCATTTATTATATATACATACATTTATATATCCTATATTTATTAGAATTTGTACTTTACACATTTTATTTTTTATGTGTATGAGTGTATTGCCTGCATATGTATAAGTGCACCCATGTCACACAATGCCTGCAGAAGTCAGAAGAATGCATCAGATCCCCTGGAACTGGAGTTATGGACAGTTGTTAACTGCCATGGGGGTTTTGGGAATTAAAACCGGGTCCTCTGCAAGAGCAGTCAATGCTCTTAACCACTGAGTCATCTCTCCAGTCCCTACACATTTTAATTTTTAAACCTTCAAATATATATAAATATATATTGCATATATGCAAGAAAGAGAGAAATTATCAAAGAAAGACAATAAACCTTAAAGAAATTCAACAATTGCAAAGGTTAAGTAACAGAGCCACCATAAATTTTGTATTTCAATTATGTTTGGACTGCAAAGATTTAGAAATGAAAGCAATGAACTATTGTCCATATTTTATATTTTTAAAATTGAAAATTCTTTAAAAATATTTTTATTATTTTTTAAATTTTGTGTGTTAGAGTGTAATGACTACATGTATATAAGTGCACCTGTGTTGTACAATGTCCAAGGAAGTCAGAAGAGGACATCAGATCCCCTGGCAGTGGAGTTAGGGACAGTTGTTAGCTGCCATGTGGATGCTGGTAATTGAATCTATGTGGGTTCTCTGCAAGATCAGCCAGTGCTCTTAATCAAAGAGCCATATCTTCAGCCCTTAAATTAAGAATTCTTAAAGGTCTCATTGAAGCATACAAGGGAACTGGTCTCCTGACCCAGGCAGATTTGGCAAAATCACAGCTTCATGATTGTTTTTTCAAAGTGATGGTAGGTAGGATTTAACTTTTATTTTATTTTATTAATTTATTGTTTTTTGATACAAGTCCTCACTTTGTTTCCCTGGCTGGCCTGGAACTCACTATTGTAGACCCTGCTGGCGTCAAACTCACAGTGATCCACTTCTTTCTGCTTCCAGTGCTGGGTCTAAAGGCCTACGCCCCCATGCCAAGCAGAACTTAACTCTTAATATTTAATGAAGACATTTGTAACACTATTATAATTCAATAACATTTATATATTGTATAAATCCTGTAATTTATAGGTCTATCATCTGGGATCCTAACTCTTAGGCTAAAGATCAAAGTGAAGCCACTAATAGCCACAAAGGTACTAGAGAAACCACTCTGATCTGAAGGCATTGTTATCTAACTCTCTCCAGTTTGGAATGTATACAGCAGAATATGTTGACAGGATGGATCTCAGGAAATACTTCAAGCAACTTTTAGTCTGGTAGGGATGGTAATAGCTGTGCACAATAAATAATGTTGACTACCATGGATGAATTACAGGGTTGTGTTTGCAAACTGCAGGTAGTGATACAATTAAGGTTAATTTTAGTTTTTTTAGAAACTGTCTCACTACATAGCCCTGGATAGCCTGGAACTCACTTTGTTAATCAGGTTGGCCTCAAACTCACAGAAATCCACTTGCTTCTGCCTCCTGAGTGTTGGAATTAAAAGTTTGTGCCATCATACCTGGCAAGTTGTAGAGTATTTGTGAAATTAAAAAGAGAAAGCATTAATTTAAGAAAACCTGAACTACAAGAAACATCTCAAGTGGCTAATCATTCCTATATTCAGGATGGATTCAAGCAGCCTGTGCATATTCTCTGGTACTAGAGCCAGAAGCTGTACTTTGTGGCCTCCTCTGTGCACTTTCCCAAGTCAGCTGGCAAGACGAACAGTACTGGAACATGTGGAACCCACAGGACTTGATCAGGAAGCAATGATCCACAAGGAGCAATCAGGACCCAGCTCTCCCCCACAACATATTCCTCATGTGAACTTGTGGGCCCGAGTGGGAATGTGGGTGGGAACTTTACACAAGCAAAACTCTCCACTTGTACATCAGATGTGCACTTCCATTTTATATCAAAGGCCATGTCTTTTTAGGTTTAGATATGTATGTGTGTGTGTGAGGGAGAGATTTTGTATGAAATGTGGGCTAATGCAAAATGTATGAAGGATAAACAATAAACTGAGTAAAATTTTATTAGCTAAAAGATGACTATCCTGTGGATGGACAATGGCTATTTCACAAGAGGGCAGGAATTAGACTTTGAAGAACAGGTGTTTGTTATGCCCACTGAGGGAAGGAAAGCACACGTGCCAAGCTCTGAGATATGAAAGTCAAAGTTACCTGAAAGGACCACAAGTAGCTCTGTGTGGCTAGATTGCACTCTGCAATGAAGGGGCCTGGTGGCTGTTGTCTGAGGATACATTCGAGGCCACTTACAAAGGATGTTGAACATCAGGTTGGAAATCTGAATTTTCTCAAGTCAATGGAGAACCATGGAAAATGACAAAACAGAAATTCCACAGGAAAAGTTATGGAAAATGTATATAGCAAAGAATGAGAAGATTCCAGTCCAATCAAACTACAAGCCCTCATTTTTGTGTGTACCATGTCATCTGCCATCCTGAAACTATGTGGCAAAAAGCATGCATTCACACAGACCTTCCCATCAACTGCAATAGGGAGATTTCTAAGAACCAATGTGTTAAGATTGAGATATACTGCCAAGTTTTTCTTCTTAACCTTCTCAAACATACTTGGCCAGTGACTGCTCCTGAGTAAAACCTTAATCCAATGGCATTCCTTGAAATTTCAGTTTGCTCTTTGGATTGTTCAATAAAGAATAGGCACCTTATGGTAAGGGCTGAAAACAGCCAGGAATATTGAGTAGGCAAGAAACGTATTCTGTGATTATTTTATTTAATCCCAACAAAGAGACATCCTTTATAGATGAGAACCCTGAAGTTCAGAAAGGATAAACATACCTTGCCCACCTTGTACACTGGAAAGTGATATAGCCAGAATTTAAATTAAAATAGATAACTCCCCCTGAATAGACCTGCTTCTTCTAGGTCAAAGCAAATACTGAAAGGCAGATTCCAGGCTTTAGAACCTGAAATAACATTTTTATCTCCTAATTTTTTAATTTTTTAATTTTCATGCTTAGAAAATAAGTGCAGTTAAAGGAATTTCAAAAGATCATAGTACCAATTGGAAGAAAAATCTGCTCGTTTCCCTTTCAATAACCTTTATTATAAACATAGATGAAAATCCGTTTTTGTTTCCAGCTCTGCTTTGGTATTTGGGCATATGGAATGTACTGGATCTCTGAACTGTCTCTAAGAGAGCATTTTCTTTTCTACCTGCCTCTATAAACATACTTTCAGAGGAGAGGTTTAAGTTCTTGAAGGAAACAGGAGGATGATTTCTTTGGGAACACACAATTACAGTATATAAAAATGGTATGTGCCAAATAGTCTTGTAATTCCTCAATATATGGAATATAGGAAATAATTTCATAACCCAGATCAACTAGTGTATAGAACTGATAGTAAGACTCTCTTATTTCGTAAAAGGTATTATTTATACACATTTATAAATTAATTGTTTCATGCAATGAGCACACACACACACACACACACACACACACACATATTCCCTCCCTAATCAGGCCCTTAAATTTGTTTCAAAACTTTTAAAAATAATTGGCAGTCTTTCAGTAATGATTTTGCAGGTGCTTTTTCCCTTTTAAGGACTGTGGTGTAAAATGAAAGTAGAGCCAATTCTTCAGTTTGAACATAATGTCACTGCACAACTGGGAATTTACAAGCAATGGTTCTCAGTAACTGCCACCATAATCCTTATTGCTTAGCTGATAAATACTTCATACTTTTACTGATAGCAAATGACCATTAGTAGGGTTTAAGTTAAAATTTTTTTAATTTTCTTACACATTGCCAAGATCTAAACATAGATATGAATCAACATTTATAAATATGACATTTAAATATGAATATGATAAAAATCTATAAATTAAACAAATACAAATGAAGTATACTCAATGTCATTTTCTATATTCTCAACAAAACAGAGCATTCATGAAGGACATGACAAGTCCGCTTAATTGTCTGTTTCATATAACCATTTACACTACTGGTGACCATTCTGTTTTGACATAAATCAATCTGATTTGCTGCCAACTAAATTAGATGTAATTAATCATTTTCATTAAAAGAAAAATTTACAAAGCGATGATGTAGCCAAATGGGTTCTTAGCATTGAGCCTCAATTGTATTTCTTACAAGAAATTGATAAGACATTGACTAGCCAATAACTATTAACCATAATAGGGACTTGTTGGGCAGTTATTTCAACAGGTGCAAAGCAAAACCATATATGTGAGCTGCTCCTAGAGGAACTTGAGAACGTGCCACATAAATTGATACCATGTGTTTAGACTGCATACACAGCTATGCACAATGCTGTGATGTAATATCTACAATAATCAATAGTTTTCTTTGACGGTGAGATTTCAAAAGGAGCTAGGCAACTAAGCACAAAAAGGAAATATGTATTTCATATACAAATAGAAAGAAAAAAATTATTAGCCGAATAAACAGAGACTATGAAGAGGCTTGAAAGGGGCCCTCGGTTATGTCAAACATAACTCTTTGGGAAAGAAAGACAGGAAAATCCTATTGTAATGAAACTTCAGAACTATTGGAAACTTGGGAAAAACAGAGGACTTTAAATTTACAGTACATTTTCAATTAAAGTTAAAAATGTTCTTTAAAGAAAAAAAGTTTTGAGACTGTTTAGATTTCTCAGGCAGGATGACGAGGGGTGGGCGATAACTCACAAGAATATCTCCTCTCTCTTGGGAAAATACTCAGATAAGTGGAGATATTTGTGTACCCGGAAGAGGCATCTCCTTGGTCTCAGCCATCTGTGTGGTAGGGAGGGAGTGCAAGCCTGGCAGGCTTCAAGTGTGGACAGGTGTCTCAGCCACCTGGCCCCTCTGGGGAGAACAAGAACGCAGCACCCCAGTGTTGAGATTGTTAAACAGAAAATATCGTCTGAAAATGGACCCAAGAATCTGAGGAGTCTGGCTGGCAGATGGGAGGGGTTGTGGGGGTGGGAACAGGGCAAATTCCCTCTACCCGCCTGGGTGTCATGTTCAGTATTACAGGGGCAAAGTCAGCTAGTTTACCTTTGCCAACATGATTCTTTGAAGAGCACATGTAATAGTGAAATACTTTTAGACTGGGGGTTGTGAGACTTTTTATATAATAGCCAGAGCTTGACTGATGAGTATCAATTCCTTAGGTACAGAGAAGCAAAGGGCAGGAGTGGGAAGGAACAGGACAGCTTCCTGCATTCTCTTGAACTTTCCGACAGTTGTCCTAAGATCCCTTCCCCCAGATGAGTCTCTGAGTCCAGAGAGAAACTGGTTCTGCAGTTCTCATGGTATCTGACTAGTGCTGACACTCAGCGAATGTCTTTCTAAAAAACTTTTTTGTTTTTTATTTTATGTGTATGAGTGTATTGCCTGCATGTATTTACGTGTAACCAGGTCGTGCAATGTCTGCAGAGGTCAAAAGAGGACATCTGATCCTCTGGAACTGGTGTTACAGACAGTTGTTAGCCATCATGTGCATGCTGGGATTTGAACCCAGGTCTTATCCAAGAGTAGCCATTGCTCTTAATGGCCGAACATCTCTCCAGACCCATCATCATGTGTCTTATAAGCCAGAAAATATCTCAGGCAGAGCCTGGAGCCCATGGCATAACTTCAGAGCAGGCTCGGTCTGTCTCTGTGTTGGGGAAGCACTGCTCTGAGCCTCCCCTGGGGCCGGCCAAGGTGAGGTGATGATAGGACAGCTGTGTCTCTCCTCATCTAGCACCTTCAGCTCCTCTCATTGAGAAGTTGGGTTTTATATCAGCTTTCCTGAGAATTTCTCCAGAAACACAGCAGGTTTCAACAGACTCTTGTGACTTGCAGATCTTATTGGTTTGGAATAGTGACTTAGACATGCTTCTTTTCCGTCTTCTTTTTTTTTTTTGGGATTAAAAAATATTTTTATTGGGCTGGAGAGATGGCACACTGGCTGTTCTTTCAGAAGATCCAGGTTCAAATCCCAGCGCCCAAATGGCAGCTAACTACTGTCTGGAACTCCAGTTCCAGGGGATCCGGCAGCCTCTTCTGTTCTCTGTAAGCATTGCATGACAAGGGTGCACTTACCTACATGCAGGCAATATACGCTACACATAAAATAAAAAATATATATATATTTTTAAATATTTTTATTGATTTTTCAGCATTTCATATAATTCATTTTGAGCATATTCAGACCATCTCCATCTCCTCTCAGACCTACCAACATCTCTCTATCCCCCCCCATTTCATGTCCTCTATTATTTTTTATGGCTTACTGAGTCTAATTTATGTTCCCCAAATGCTCTTGAGTATAGTTCCATCCCCTGGAACATGGTCAGCCTACCTGGCATCACATTCTCAAAGAAAACTGATTCTCTTCCCAGCATCTATCAGTTGCCAGTAGTTCCTCAGCTAGGTCTGGGCTTCTAGTCCCCCTTTCCTCTTGTGCATGCTGTCACAAGCGCTATGGGTTCATATGTGTAACTCCTCCTAAGGCTCACAGATCACTGTGGAAGAGGGGGCAGAGGGATTGTGAGAGCCAGAGGTGGTGGATGACTACAGGAAACATGTTTTCCGCATGCAGCAGGGAAGTTGCACATATGAAATGGCATGTTTTGAAGCTAGAAAATGGGATTTGGCCTAATTTGGGTATCTGGTTAATCACCCACTCTCTAAATAAAACAAAAAAATTCCTAGTTGACTGAAGATGAATCAGCTGAAAGGGTACTTTGGGCTATAAGGAGTGAAATGAAAAAGAAAGCTTTTTTTCTACCTTTTGAAAAATCAAAGGTAAGGTTTTCTTGCCCTAATTGTATACAAATTATATGTATTAATGGGGTACAAACTTGATGATGCAATTGCTAAGTACAATATGGAATAAGTAAGGTCAATGAGCATATTAATCATCTCAAATACTTATTTTTTGTGGTTGAACTTTTAAAATTTCCTCACACAGCTTTAAAAAATTTACAATACATAATTTACAATATTCATCACTCTGAAATCCCAATTAAATGCTTATTCTTCTTGTCTAATTGAGCTCTGTACTCTGTGGCTATCAGAGCCACGCTTCCTCCAACTCCAACCTTACACCCACTAGTCGCCATTTTGCCTCTTTCAAGCCAGTTATTTCATATCATACACGTATAAATGGGTGATGCAGCATCTGTCTTACTGAGTCTAGATTCCTTTATTTAGCACAACTATCTCCAGCTCCAGGCACATTGGCTAAAATGACACAATTTTGTATTCCCATGTGTTTTTTACACATTTCGATTTATTCATTTATCTTGTGATGGACACGTAGTTGATTCCATACCATAACTATTGTGACTAGATCTTCAGTAGACCTGTCCTATAAATGTCTCCTGATTTCTTCTTCAGTTCTCTGTCTAGTAACAGAACTGCTGGATCATACGTTGTTTCAGATTTTTAGCAACTTCACTGCTGTTTTCTACATTCCTACCAACAAGGTGTCACGGTTTCCCTTTCTGTACAGTCTAGCCCACACTTAACTTTCTTTTCTGTTATTTGGCTGGTAATAGCCATTCTGACAGGGGTGGGGCG